GCCTCACCTGGACTTTCTCTCCCCCGCCAGACACCTTGGAGATGTAGCCCATGATGTATTTTGCTGCCACCGTCTTCCCAGCTCCACTCTCTCCACTGGGATGGAGGAAGGGCCCTTTTTAGTGCCTGACCATTGATTCAGTCATTCATTGAGCACCTACTGTGTACCAGGCACTATTTCACATACTGGAGATATAATAGTGAACAAGACAGATAAAAATCCCTGCCTTCCTGCCCTCGTGGAGCTGAAATTTAGAGGAAACAGGTGGGTAGTAACAGAATGTATAAATGTATCACGAGGCAGATGGTGACAAGGTAGTAAAAGGGGGCGTTGGGCAGAGAGGGACAGCAGGGCCCTGCTTGGACTGGGGGTTGCAGGCACAGGTCCCTGCAGGTGACGATGATGTCTGAGCAGGGGCCCAGGCAGCAGGTCCGAGTCCTCCCACCCTGTACCTGATGATGACACACTGGTTCTCACAGTCGATGAGCATGTTCCGGTACATGTTGTCCGTGAGGGCGTAGATGTGCGGGGGGTTCTCATACTGGGCCTGGCGGGGAGATCAGGTTTCAGCCCAGGGCGTGGGGGTGCCGTGGGGTCCTGGGGCTGTGTCCCCCATCTGGCCCCCAGCCTCACCGCGCCCTGGTAGAGGTCGATCTCGCGGTCAGTGAAGTAGGGCATCTGCTTGAAGGGGTTTACAGAGATGAGCACCGAGCCGATGTAGGTCTGGGAGGTGGTTAAGGTGACCTGGTTGGATTTCACTCCCTTGGACCTTTGTCCCCTCATCCTGCTCCCCTGGGGCCTCCTAGAGCCCCACTGCTCAGAGGAAGAGATGGGCTTACTCAGATGCACCTCAAGGCTCCCATGGCTGGGTCCAGACGGAGGGGAATGGGATTTGCAGCACGCAGCTGGGCTGCCCCAGGGCAGAGCGATCGGTGGCAGCCACAGTGGCCCCCAACCAGAGCTTCGTTGTCCCTCCACCTGTCCCCTCTCCCACCAGCCGGTGCCCTCACTGCCCACCCCCATCTGCTCATTCAACCGCCTCTGTCCACAGCCCAGGATACAAAGATGTAGTCGTCCATGAAGCGCTTGCGCAGGTTGGCTGAGATGGCATCCTCGGTGATCTGGGGCAGCAGCACCATGTCGTCCACGCCACTCTGCTTCACGTTGTGGCTCTGCCAATGGAAGCGCTCCTTGCTGCCCTGCGGGTGGGGACGGCGGGGTGGGGTGAGTCCCCGCAGGGGCACGGTGGCGCCTGGCTCTCCTCCTCCACAACCTCTGTTCCTCCTTCCCCGTTCCGGGGACACCAAGAGGTGGGCAAGGTCCAGTGCACACTTCCTGCCCCAGACAGAAGGACGGCTCAGATCTGTCCCTCAGCACTCTCTTTTGGTCCCTCTGTCTGTCCATCCCTCCACTTAGTGCACCCACTGCCCCACCATGAGGGATGCCAGGCGCGGCGGGGCGCAGGGTGCTCTCCGTGGGTGGCTCCAGCAACTGCGGCGGCGGAGGAGGGAGACGGGAAGGCTTGTCGGGGAGTCGGCCCACTCTGCGTCTCACTTCCCCGGCTCCCCTCTCCCTGCCCAGGCCTGGGCTGAGTCCCTGACCTCTCTGTGGCATCTGACCCTCTGCGAGGTGGCCTCCTTCCTCCCACTCCTTCTCCTCCTCCTCTCCTGCGGTCCTGCCACCCAGCCTGTCACTCCGAGCTCCTCCGGGCCATCATGTGACCGTGGCCTCTGCCCTCTTTGCCTTCCCGTGACCCTGTTCCTCAGCTCCACCCTCCACTCCTGGCCCAGTGTCCCTGCCGCCTCTGCCAAGGTCTTCTCTGTCCTCGGGTGCCTTTGCCTTGCCCCTCAGCAACTGCAGCACCTTCCCAGACTCCCACTTTCCTGCCTCAGTTCCTCCCTCCGTTTTTCATCACCACACCCACTTTAGGCCCCATGGAGGAGACTCAGGCATGGGCTCTTCCAAAAAAACCTTCCTCCAGGAAGCCCACCTGGGATGCTCTCTCCTTTTAGACTGATTGAATTCCTTTAGTGCCTTAAACACCCTGGCTTTCTTGGGCTCACACTATCTTCATTCAATACACTCCTGCAAGGGAGGAGCGCAGCAAACAGGGGGAAGGATGGCTGAAAGGACGGCCTCGCTAATAAACTAACAGAGAAAAATAAACTATGTAACAGAAAGAGGAATAGACTGAGAGCACATGATTGCCCCTTTCAAGGGAAAGATCTCAACACAACTGCCCCTTTGTTTGATCCAGTACCTGGGGCTTAAATTGTTTTATTTAAGAGGTTTTTTTTAAAACAGGCTTGAAGAGCCCTGAGCAGACAGGAGGGGTACAAACTCTCTGCCTCAGTTCCTGCCAGAACCACATTTCAAGGACTCTGATAAGCCAGCCTCACAGAGAAAGGAAAAAAAAAAAAGAAAAAGGAAAAAACCAGACACAGCCGCTTCAGCTCTCTCCTGCTACAAGCTCACAACATTAACTGTTTCTTTACCCTTTTTCCCCATAAAAACTCTGAGCCTCTCCTGCTGGGAGCCCAGTACATCCCCTGCCCCCTTCTTCCTTTCATGTGCTGTGCCCTCTTCCCTTTCTCTCTCTTTTGTTTTTGAGCAGAGTCTCCTTCTGTCACCTAGGCTAGAGTGGCATGGAATCATCATAGCTCACTGTAGCCTCAAACTACTGGATTCAAGCGATCCTCCTGCCTGAGCCTCCCGAGTAGCTGGGACTGCAGGCATGTGCCACCATGCCCGGCTAATTTCTTCTATTTTTGGTAAAGACAGAGTCTTGATCTTGCTCAGGCTGGTCTCAAACTCCTGACCTCAAGCAATCCTCCTGCCTCAGCCTCCCAGAATGATAGGATTACAGGCGTGAGCCACCGTGCCTGGCCTCTCTCTCTCTCTCTCTCTCGTAAAATAAACTTTTTACTTCTTTCTATCCCAATCTTTGTGTTGAGAATTCTTTCTCAAACCCACGGATGAACTCACACCCTAACCATGGCAACTCGAAGCACCTGCATCTGATGAACTCGTGCTCGGATAAGATGTTCCTCATTCAGGAAGCCCCAGTACCCCCAGAACAGGAGCTCATGGAGGCAGGGACTCAGGGAGTCTTTTCTCAGCCCTAGCAGGGAGGATCTGTTGAATGAACAAGGGACCAAGGCAAAGAAAGAAACCCAGCTTCATAGGAAAAGCCCTAGAACAAAGGATGCTGGGGATTGAAATTAGTTCTTTAAAGAGGACTGTGTTTGCCAGTGGATTCCAGAAAAAGGAGGTGGGTGTGCTGGGCAGAGAGGACACAGGCTGGGAACAAGCAGGAGAGTGAGTGTGGGCAACTGTAGGGCACAGATGGAGCCAGTCTCTCCTGTGGGACACTGGGGAGCCATGCAATGTTCTTGAGCAGGGGAGGTGCATTGTCAGATTCTGGACATGCTAACGGCCAGACGGGGGATTTGTTGAGGAATGCCTATGCACATGAAATGAGCTCAGCCTTTTGCGTGGGGGTAGATCTGGGTTCTAATCCTGGCTGGCTGACTTGGTACTGTGGTTTAGCCTCAATGGCCTCATCTATAAAATGGGAGATGCAGCCCCACTTCCCAGGGTTGATGTGAGGATGAGCCACTCTGGGGAATGAGGTCGGGGTGCAGGGCTTGGGCCCCTTCCCAGCCTGAGGAGTTGACAGGCTGAGGAGCATTTGACAGAATTAACATTCGCCAAGCACCTGTGTCATGCCTGACTGTCACAGGTCATCTCAGTGTGATGTAAACGAGGAGGGAAAGTGAGGCTCCAGAGGTCTCGTGGCTTGACTAAGGACACCCGACTAAAGACACACACTGTTTCAAGATCCCAGATCCCAGATCCAACCAGCAGCAAGGAACAGGTTCTAGCATCTTCACCCACAACAGGCTGTGCTGTGCTGAGAATGGTTTTGACAGTGCAGGGACCAAGGCCCTTGGCCCCCTAAAGGTTCTCTGAAAAATCACTGACACGAGAGGCAGATTGATGAATAGGAAAAAAAATGGCATGCAAATTTCTTTCACGTGTCTACACGGGAGCCTTTAGAAAGAAGACCCAGGGAGACAGAGGAGATTGTCCATTTTTATGTGTAGGTTCAACAAAGTAGGGACAGTGTGTACCAAGATGATTGGATGGGAAGAGTATGATGTAATGCTAACAGGCTGCGTGGGGATCCCAGCAAGGCCCATCTGCCTGAATTCTTCTAGGTTTTTCTGAGCATGTGTCCCTTCCTTCTGGGTGTGGGGCAGGGCCCTCTCTTGTATGGGGGTCTACAACCCAACAAAGTAGATCGGATAATTTCTTTTTTTTTTCCTTTTTTTTTGAGGCTAGAGTGCAGTGGCGTCATCGTAGCTCACTGCAGCCTCAAACCCCTGGGCACAAGCGATCCTCCTGCCTCAGCCTCCTGAGTACCTGGGAGTACAGATTTGTACCACCAATCCTGGCTAAATTTTAAATTTTTTGTAGTGATGGGGTCTCACTATGTTGCCCAGGCTGGTCTCCTGCCTCCCAAAGTGCTGGGATTGCAGGCGCGAGCCACTCACTCAGCTGAAAACTGATTTAGTCTTTGCACGGTTGATACCTACTGCATTTTCCGGGACTGTGACTACCACATAGGAAGGGAGATTTTAGTCTTGTTCAGATTTCACGGAGAGGTCACCGTGTTGGAAGCTCTCACCACTGAAGGTCAGGGTGCTGGTGGCCTTGAAAGTGGCTTTTTGGGGGGAGGGGCTGCTGTTTCTATTGAGACACACCTGTGTACAGGTGGGAGCGCGTGGAGGCTCCCCTGGGCCTTCTTGGTCCCCTGGCCTGGGCGCTTTTTCATATCTTCACACACGTTTTATTATAAGGTCTGGATTATAGGGATCCATTGATCAGTGTGTTCCATTGTCTGAGGATTTCATGTCAGGATTTAAGTTCTCTCTTTTTTACAATTTTTATTTATTTATTTTTCGAGATAGGCTCTTGTTCTGTTGCCCAGGCTGGAGTGCAGTGGCCTCATCACAGCTCACTGCAGCCTTGAACTCTGGGGCTCAAGTGATCCTCCTGCCTCAGCCTCCCAAGTAGCTGGGGACTACAGTTGTGCGCCCCCATGCCTGGCCGATTTAAAATTTTTTTTTTTTTCTAGAAATGGGGTCTTGCTATGTTGCCCAGGCTGGTCTCAAATTCCTGGCCTCAAGTGATCCTCCCACCTTGGCCTTCCAGAGTGCTGGGATTACAGGCATGAACCATTGCAGCCTGGCTCATGTAGGGACTTAAGGGGGCCTGATGAGGTGTTTGTTACTAAAAACAAACCCAGGGGTGCTGAGTAGGACGCACTAAGAGCCGCAGATGCATTGAGAAGGAGGCAGGGAACAAAGCCATGGGGAGCAGCTTGGCGCACAGGGGCTGAGGATGTCGCCACCATAGGCAGGCCAAGCGGGAGCAACCAGGGAGGTTGGAGGCAACCATCAAGTGCAACCTGAAGAGTATCCAAGCTTCTGCAGGCTCAGAGGTGCCCCAGGGAGGGTGTTGGTGTCCTCGGGGTCAGAATTCGGATTGGGCAGTGAGGAGGTGTAGACTGGGAGTGAGGATGGCTCTCAGACTATCTGGCTGAGAGCGGGAG